CCATAACCAACAACATAAATTAATTTAAAAAATAAAAATTAATTACACAAATTTATTCAAAAAAAAAAAAAAAAATCTACACGATTAAATAAATAATAACCTATCTACCCATATAAATAAATTTTCACTCAGGCATTAAAAAAAAAAGGAAAAAATAAAAGAACTTTAATCAATCGAATATCATGCAGGGGAATCAAAATGTTAACCAAATTAGTGTCTATTGTCTCCTTGGTCAATCGTCCGGCAACAATGTCCACTTATTTTTTTTTTTTTTTTTTTTTTTTTAGAAAGACAACAATGATCCCAAAATTGGAAATATTTGAAGGATAAGTTTATTCCGAAATCGTAAGCTATAAACAATAAGCTTAAATCATATTTTTTGCCACATTTGCATCATGTCATTGTAAAGGGAATCCTCCGAGTTTGTTTGTAAAGCTAAAATTGGAGGACCCGCACTTTGCCAAAACATGTTCATTCATTATGTTATGAACAATGTATTTTTTTTATTAGCTCTACAATTATTGTTCTAATGAAGTGTAATCAACAATGAAGCCTCTCTTAATATGTACGTAATAGACGAAATTAATGAAGCGCATTTCGCTTTTACATTGAGAAATTCCATTTAAAGTGATGAAACACAAGTTGTGATTATTTAATTGAAAGAGCGTTGGGATGACCTATTTTTTTTTTTTCTTTCGAGGAAGCTCGGAAATAATAGCATTTCCAAAATTGCACAAGTCTCATGTTATGACAAATGGTACTTTTTGCCTCGGTAACAATAGTTAACATGAGAAAATAAAATTTCCAAAGTTGGAATAATAAATTAAAAAATAAAAATACCGGTCAAAAAAATAAGGCGGGGTTAGAAAACAGCATCTAAAAAAGAAATATACTTTAAAAATCTGATCGCCTGTAAAGTCTCAAATATTAAACAAACATATCGTAATACTTACCTATCGAATGTATGTCAATCTCATCAAATTTTTGCGCGGGAGAACTTCTAAAGGATCCCGCCAACTTCTCCTCCCTGTTTCGTGTGGAGTAACCATTTTTCAATGTTACACCGCTTCTGAATTGTATGATATCAGGTATTTCGTATCAAGATAAGGGAATCTGAATAATAGTGTGACCACAAGATGTCGCACGAAATTACTGATAGGAAACCAAACAATGGTGTTACGATCTTGGCGCCAAACCTTTTAATTTGAATAAGAATATATTTAGAAATCCTTTTTTTTTTTCAAGTTGGTTTCATTGTTATTTCATTGGAACAAAGATTAATTTCATTCATTATCCGTGTACGAATAAAATGAAGAAGATTGAAACATAATTGTGAATGAAATAATACACAACATTTCACAGCATACTTTAAAACATTGTTCATTCTAAAAATGACTGAGAATATTCGGATGTTTTTTTTATTGTTCTCAACATTATCTCCCGAAACTTAAATAAAAAATTTTTTAATGTACAAGTTTTAATAAAAGGATTCTCGCTGCAATCTGCAAAGCATGAGAGAACATCATGACAATTTCCTATCAACATAATGCATTTTTTTTTTTTTTTTTTTTTTTTTTTTTTTTTTAAGAAAAAGATATGAATAAGAAAACTTAAACATTTTTTTTTTATATTCATTTTTACGACGTTAAACCGAACATTAGAAAAATTTCCGAATACAATGACAATTCAAGCTGAGAAAATATTTATTATTTCTCGAACCTTCTTTCCCACGCGAGTTTATAAAAAATAAGCGATCAAGTATAAAAACAGATTCTGAAATTTTGAAATTTTTTCACGTGAATGAAATTTTTATTTGATTCGTTTTTTTACAAAATGTTTTTTTTTTTTCCAATAACTAATTTCTTAAATTTATTTGAAAATTTAAAATTATTTACATAAATTTTTGTAAAAAAAAAAAAAAAAATCTACACGATTAAATAAATAATAACCTATCTACCCATATAAATAAATTTACAAGGTCGAATGAATAAATAAAAAAAACGAGATAATTTAAAATGTAAATGTAGACAATTATTTTCTTTTTATTTTATTATTAAAAAATAAAGGATGAGATTTATTCCGGCATAAGTTGTGGCTTAATTTTAAAATCTTAAAAGATGATGAAAATAAAATTTTTTTTTACATAGGTTTTTACGATTAAACTATATATATGAACATAATGAAAAATTTTTTTGTTTGTGTTGTGTTGTTTGCAAATTTGAATTCGAAAAAAAAATGAATGAATAAATAAATGCCTAAACGATAATGCATTGCCATTCGCCATTTGCCATTTCAAGTCGGTCATTCCCTTTGGGAATCGATTAAATTTCGGGATATATCGCGGTGTATTGTTGGTTATCTTCGTCACTGTTTGGAGAGAACATTTGATAAGTGATTTCCGGCTGCCAGTTAAATGATGGCGTTATGATGTCTTCATAAAAAAACGATGCAGGTTGTGGTGTAGGGAACACCATTGCATCGGCAATGGGTATTTGCTCGGCGTTATTTTCAAGCCTAGCGACGTTTTGTCGCCTTTTTCTGGTTCTCTTTGGAGGTGGTCCATATACCTCTTCATGTCTCTTTTTAGCGTGGGAAGCTAACCTCCTGCATTCGGCTTTGACATCCGCCGATGCGTCAGACCATGCTTTCGCCGCCCTTCGGGTGACCTCTCTCATTCTTAAGTCCCAAAAGCCCCGCGATTGCAGGACCCTCGTATATGCTGTCCTAAAAATTAGGAAATTATTGGGGGGCCTCGTCGGTATTCGACCACGTCTGGGCTTGGCCAGCAGGTCGTCGTCAAAAAGTCGTAGGGGGAGCTGAACACTGATATCGTCAGGGATGCAGGCGGCTCCATCCTGGTAATGTACGAAATCAAGCATCATTTATAAAGGTGGTGGGCTTTTTTATTCTTTAAGAAATTTGGTTGTTAAGGTGTTATTTCTTCACAAAATTTCAGGTAGTACCAGCAGATTTTCTCGTTGAGGTTTTAAAGTGTTCTTTTTTTTTTTTTTAATTTGCCGGTTTTATGAAGGTCAGCCCTATTTTTTTCTTTTTTTTGCCTTTTTTTTTTAATGCCTGAGTGAAAATTTATTTATTTTTTTTTTTGGAGGAAAAGATGATATTTTTTTATCTGTTGAGAACCTACCCCTTTTTATAATCATTCAAACAAAAAAAATTTCCTTAATAATGATTATAGTGAATAATGAATAATTACTGGTTACGCGAAAATCATTTTACGAAGGACAATGGGAAGCTAAAAAAAATTTATCATAAAATAAAAAAAATGATTGACAATTATTAACAACAAAGTTTGATTTAAACAAAGGTATGAGCTCCAATATCTGTAACACAACTTTTTGGAAAGACAGGGGGAATTTTTCAAATGTTGTAACTCTACATATTTATATTTATATTTTTTATTTATTTTGTATTTTTTATACATAAATTTTTTTTTTTTTAAGAGTGAAAAAATAAAATCTTTTCCTTATAAAAAATAAAACAAAAAAAAATCATCACATAATAAAAAAAACCTGTTTCTAATCTTGAATTCCTATCGCCCTTTTACTTTTAATTATATATATACACACGTGCAGGTGAAAACCGTATAGCAAGCAGAGGTGTGGTGATCTCATCGATAGTGAATGATTGCTAAGTAACATGCAACCTTTATAAATATTATAACCTAAAATAAAATACCAAAATAGCATTTATTGTATTTATTACAAACCTATTAATAATTCTTTTTTTTTTTTTCATATACTTATCAATTATAGGATTGAAGGGTTGAGTGGAGTCCCGCTGAATCCCTTTGTAAATCCTGACCGTTTTAAACGAGGAACGTAACAAGTTTTAATTGGTTTTAGAATTTACGTTTACAAATTTGTACACCCCGTTGAATCAGGTCCTTCAAATCAAAAGTCGCGAAAATAACAAAAGATATCTTTATTAATTAGGTTAACAAAATTTTTTTTTTGTGTTTTAGGATTATGTACGACAAACTAAAGTTTACGCCTCAAAAACGAAATGAGAAAAATGGGTAAATTTAATAACCAATCCATCAGCCAACGAACCGATGTGACCTTTAAGTTGATTCATTATCGATGAAATCCGTAACGTATTTCCCGGTGACACCCTCGGTGACGGATTTTGGGCCTTAGGACGTGATGGTTTGGCAACTCAATTAATTATAGTTTGTTTTCGGTTAAAAATAAAAAAAAAAATATGATGTAAATTCTTTATTGTGCGAATCAAGATTTTGATGATAAAACAATAGAACCTAAAAAATATCTACCGAATCTTTTAATAATCATCCGAAAAAGGAATGTAGAAGTTGAAACGTTATCAATGGGTTATACCCTTCATTCAAATATGTTAACAAACAAAAATATTTATACATCACACACGCGACACAAGATGTACAAAGTTCCATCCTTCACATTGAATCCAGATCAGGGAATTGAATGAAATTGATGATCAATTAATTTAACGCCACACTTACCAAACCATCACATAAAAAAAAAAAAATTCTTTTGAAAAATGTTACCATTGTTAACTTTAACGTTAACAATTTTAACAATGGACGGACAGACACTGGACAAATAATTTACAATAACTGTATAAATAAATTCGACACTTCCATTATTGGATTTTGAAGTGATCACATAATAAAAAATTATTAGGGATCACAAATAATAATATCAAAAATGCTTATTATCGTAATTCTTGCTCCGTTGTATAACTGTTTTAAATATGACCAGTTTCTAATTTACTCTTTTTTTTTTTTTTTTTTTTTTTTTTTTTTTTTTTTTTTTTTTTTTTTTTTTTTTTTTTTTTTTTTTTTTTT